GTTAGGAAATACACACCGAGCCCAGAGTTATTCAAGTACATCGGCTTATGTTTTTACCTCTCCAGATCACTTCCTTCCTTCCTTCCAGACTGGGTTTTCTCTCGACTTCCACCATGCATCTTTGGCGTCTTACAAGTGTTCCTTATAAACAGAAAACAGAGTGCAGTTGTGCTTAAAACCTCGTTAAGTTGTGCTTTAGACCTCTTTTGACAAGACCTCTAAGAAATCTATGGGCATCCTTAAATGAGGAAATAATACATAAAAAAAATTTCTTTTGTTGTTGTTGTTGTTTTACAAACAATGTAAATGTTTGAGCTTGGTATTAGTCAATTCTGTTAACTTTACAGTAAAAAAAAGCAGCTGTGGTTGCCAGAAATGTACCGTAAAAAATATGGTAGTAAATACAAATTGAACTTAAATTTGAAAACCACCTTGAAAACACAAGTGATAAAGAGAAACCGACATGATGAATCAAAGTTCATCACAACTATAGAAGGTGCACGGTGTCATACACAAATACTAAACGCATCATGGAAACATACGGCACAAAAATAATTCAATAAACATTAATTAAACAACATAAGATGTAACATAATACCCGAATGTATAACTGATAAGAAAAATTAACCGTTATATCAATGAAACAGCATCGGTTAGGGTTAGGGTTATATTTAACAGTAAAAAAATATAAAATTCCATGAAACATCACATTAGATCACTATTGCAGATTAGAATATATTATATATTATATTATACTGCAGACTCACCCAAATCTTAGCCATTAAAGAATTTATCCATATACCATATCCAGTATATATACACAAAGTTAACTGTAAAACTGCTTTAGAATGATATTTAGTGTAAAAAGTGATACAGAAATTGAATTAAATTGAAAAATGTCTCCCTCTGATGTAGAAATATAGAAAAAAAAGTGTTTCTATGATGGGTAGGTTTAGTTTTCTGTGTTGGGTAGGTTTAGGGGTTGGGTTAAGGGGATAGAATATACAGTTTGTACAGTACAAAAACCATTACATCTATGGAGAAGCCCCACAAAGATAACAAACCAGACGTGTGTGTGTGTGTGTGTGTGTGTGTGTGTGTGTGTGTGTGTGTGTGTGTGTGTGTGTGTGTGTGTGTGTGTGTGTGTGTGTGTGTGTGTGTGTGTGTGTGTGTGTGTGTGTGTGTGTGTGTGTGTGTGTGTGTGTGAGGTCTCACCAGCAGGTTTCAGTGGACACCTTATATTCCAGCCTCAGGGAATCACGTGGAGAAGCACATGCTCAAAAGTTTCTGATTTATATCTCAGCTGTTTGTTTTGTAGGCTGTATAGTGTGATCGAGGGGTGTAGAAATCGTTAGTCAAGCCTGTCAAAGGGAGGATGTTATTTATTACACAAATTAAAGGAAAATAGTATCAACTTACAGCAGCCTTTGGGCATCTCTTCACCTGTCTATTTGTTTTCCTTTCACTCTTTCTCCTCTCACATCCGGCTCTCGTTCCCCTGCAGACTAATAACACGATTACTCAGCAGTCATATCAATATTATGGTTATCTTTTGCATCAGAGATTGTAGCCAACAGTTTTCCAGTAAGGTTACAGTTAAGCGCGCCTGAAGTCGCCTGTATGTTTGTGAGAGATAGCATTGTGTCCTCATAAAGCTCTCTTTGTTTGATGAAGAAGAGGCTCCAGAAACCTGTCTTGAGAGGCGTCTTCACACATCTGTGTGTTCCTCTCTTTATATCAGGTGATATTTGAGAGGTGAGGTGAAGTTCACCATTGTATATAATGAGATATAATGTGAAACTATAACCGTGCTGCTATACAGTAAAAAAATTAATTGGTCTTGTAATGTTGTGTATATTTTATTAAGAAAATTGTGGTTCAGTGTTGAATAGAAAATATTGAGAACATTTCACTAATAAAATCAAGAGATACATTTTCAAAAAAAAATTTAAGGAATCAGTTTTGAGGCTTGAATTGAGGAACCAATTAAGCTGATAAAATTAAGGGGAAAAGGCTACCTATTTATTTTAAGAGAATTGGTTCAATTATGCAGGTTTTATTTAGAGACACCATAGTTAGTTCCCAGCATGCTTTGCATATGGCTGGAAATGGAGAGTAAATATTGAAATTAAGTGTTATTTTATGTGTTTTTTTAGTAAAGGGAAACATCTGTTAATGTTTAATGTTCAGTTATGTTTAACATTTGAAAGAGTTTATATTATATTGATGTTCTGATCATTACCATTGTGCAGAAGAGTAGGGCTTGGTTAGGTTGTGAATACTGCATATATTAAAGGTGCCCTAGAATGTTTTTTTTAAATTATTTTACAATGTTTCCTGGGTTACCCTCATAATGTTAGTATGTTTTTTAGATAAAAAATAATCATAATTTAGAAATAAATGCCATTTTTCCTAGCCTGCTTTTAGCCTCTGATTTGAACACTCTGTTTGAAGGGGCGTGTCTGCTGTGGGATTCAGTGCAGAGCCATATAGAGTACGTTAAACTGAAGCTCAAGCATGTTCGCTTGAAGTGCGAGAACCAATGAGGTTCATTCTCGTGTGTTACGCAGCACGTTTGAGCTTCTGTGAGAACCAGTGATGTTGGTACTCACACTTCAAGCAGGTGTAGTTGAGCTTCTGTTTATGTTCACTGATCAATGTTTATATGTGAGTAAAAGCCTAAATTTAATCTGTTGATTGCGATTGAGTTTCTTCAGAAAATGTTGACTAAACCGCTCAATTCATTTGGATTAGTTTTACGATCTCTTTATGAACTATGAACTTATGAGGCATCAAAGTGGTAGTTGCGTAGCTGTCAATGGAGGAACATAAATCTCTCAGCTTTCATTAAAATGATCTTCATTTGTGTTCTGAAGAAAGTCTTACCAGTTTGGAACGACATGAGGGTGAGTAATTATTGACAGAATTTTCATTTGAAGGCTCAACAGTGTATAGATATATAGTTACAGCTGTAATAACATGAAGGTATTTTAAAAAATATATAAGTACAATGTAAAAACATATTACACCATTTTGCATTGTATCAAATAATTAATTTAAATTAATTTAAATGAAAAAAATAGTCAAATAATTAATTTAAAATAGGTTTAATATTAAAATCACCTAATTTAAAAAAAACTATACCAATTCAATATTAAGACAAATAAAAAACCTGATTTTAAAACAGATTTGTTAAACGGAAAAGTCTGACTGATGGCTCAGACGAGGGCACGTGAGGTCTGCTCAGATCGGTGAGATCTGGACTCAACTGGTTTCCTTAGTTCAAGGGCAACACTTTTCATCTAACTCACTCAATTACCACAGCTTGTACAAATGTGAAAAACCACTTGTGTCTATTTGAAGTGGTGTAATCTGATGAACGTGATTTTTATTTCTAGCGTGCTGTGGTTGGATTCTCTCTTTCTCTCTGAATTTCCTTCTATCATCTCTTTTTATCTCTCCCCTCCTCAGCCATTTGAAAAAGGAGACCCACTTCATTACTGAGCTGAGGCTGTGATCGCACTCTAGAGACCCTCAGACAGTGTGTGTGTGTGTGTGTGTGTGTGTGTGTGTGTGTGTGTGTGTGTGTGTGTGTGTGTGTGTGTGTGTGTGTGTGTGTGTGTGTGTGTGTGTGTGTGTGTGTGTGTGTGTGTGTGTGTGTGTGTGTGTGTGTGTGTGTGTGTGTGTGTGTGAATGAGAGGGGAGAAAGATGTGGAAAAACAAAGCACTGTACAATATTTTCACATTTCTTATATGGACGGCTAATCAGATATTTATCTGCATATCGTTGAATACACACATAAACCATTTCATAAAACATTACAATTTGTATTAAATCATGGGCCGTGGGCCTGCTCTAAATTCCCTGCATTGTTGAATAAATGGATAATCTATTAATTCACGAGACGAGGTTTAAGCATATGAACTCTCAAACTCCAGCTTTGTACAATAGGTTTTTATTTGTTCTAACCTTTATGAATCAAGAATATCAAAGTGCCGTACAAAATAAAAATGATAAAAGAGTAAAAACATTCAATTAACATATTTTCACATATTTTTATAGGGAGGTTGTTGTTAATTGAAAGCAAAAATAGGTAAAATTTCAAATCACATTGAAAAATAATAAATAAAGGATATTTTTACATACACATTTTGAATATATGAAAAGTTGGTAACACTTTACAATAAGCTTTCCTTTGTTAACACAAGTTGATGCATTAACTAACATGAACTAACAATAAGCAATACATGTTTACAGTATGTATTAACCTTTGTTAATGTTAATAAAAATGTCCATGTTAGTTCCACTTCAAAGTGCATGTTAGCAGATACAATTTTTGCATCTTAAAAATGTATTATTAGAAAATGTTGATATTAACATTAGCTAAGATTAATAAACGCTGTAGAAGTATTGTTTTTTGTTAGTTCATGTTAACTGATGTATTTGATAATGTTAACAAAATATGAAACCTTATTGTAAATTATACCAAAATGTTATCGGCTGTCTGCAAATTTGAAATTGCAGTAGGAGATTTCTTTTACAAAACAATTAATAAACAATTAATTGTCATAATAATAATAGTTTGTTACATTTATATAGCGCTCTTAGGTACTCAATGCGCTTTACATATATGGAAAGGAGAATCTCCTCAACCACCACCAATGTTCAGCATCCACCTGGATGATGCGACGGCAGCCATTCTGTGCCAGATAGTCCACCACACACACCAGCTTACTGGTGGAGAGGAGACAGAGTGATGAAGCCAATCAGTGTGTATATGGGGATGATTAGGAGGCCATGATGGACAGAGGCCAATGGGCAAATTTGGCCAGGATGCCGGGGTTAAACCCCTAGTCTTTTTCCGAAGGACATCCTGGGATTTTTAATGACCGCAGAGAGTCATGAACAACAAAGGTCTGTTCCTCCAAAACATTTATTTCCTTTGAGTGGATACATGTTTGGGCCAGGTCAATACTACAGGCCAAGACCTGTATAGGCTTCTTCTTAGACAAATATCTACAGTATTAAGATTATGTGAGTGACTGTAAATGCTGAACAACACGAAGACATCTTATGAAAAAGCACCGGACAGAATCATGCAGTTAAACTTTTCTTTTTGGTATCGTACATACAAACTGCCATCTAAAGAAAAACCAGCAGACATCAAAAAGAGACATATGTGGAGCACAACATGGTTGTTTCCCTCAGCTATTTCCTTTTTTTAGAAGTGCATTGACTATCAGATCGGCACGTTTAGTTCAGCCGTCATGTCCATACAAATATTTGCGTAACTCGTTTGTGTGGTAACTAAACTGTAAACAACTGGATATTACGAAATAAAACTTGTTTGGCCACAAATATTTGGCCTCACGTGAAATTAAATAATGGATAAAAAGATTGCACATGAATTGCGTGTCTACTCTTCAAAAAGCTGGAAATGTTCAGTGCATGGAGTTGGCTGTGTTAAAATGAGGAAAATAACTGGGAATGTCTGAACATAGTCCTCCAATGTATTCAGAAGAAGGAGATGGCTTTCCAGGGAATAACTGTCCAGAAGGAGATGTTTTGGAGAGGTACGATTCCTCCTGCGACCAGGGTGACAGTCCCGCTGTGTGAGGCACCTGGTGAGAGTAAAAGTAACTGGACTGATTGGAAAGTAAATTGAAAGAGCGGGGAGCAGAGAGAGGCAGAGGCACAGAAGCAGATGTGGAGAAGGAGGAGGTGGAGGACATCTGTTCACAGCCCATTCCATAATAAGCTGCCTCTTGGGCGGACGGGAGAAGCAGTCTTTCCGCAGCGGGACCGACCGAGCTGAAGTGGCGCGAGCTCTGGGACAGAACCGACGCGGCGTAGTTGTTGTGGTGAGCCGCGGAGCTCGGGTGACGATGCTGGAGAGTCACGAACGGCGGGACGGGCCAGTAAAACGAGCCTGCGAATGCCAGTCCTGCGGTGGCGGCGGAGGATAGCCGTGCGCCTCTCTTCATGGCCAGCTTGGCTCGAGACGCGGCTGTAGACCGGCGCCGGAGTTTTCCAGTGGTTCCGCCGATGAATACGTCATCGCTGGACGGGTCCAGCATCCAGTAGTTGCCTTTTCCCGGGTCGTCGTAGTGGCGCGGGACCTTGACGAAGCACTTGTTGAGGCTCAGGTTGTGCCGGATGGAGTTCTGCCAACCCTGCCTGTTTTCTCGGTAGTACGGAAAGTTGCCCATAATGAACTCATAGATGCCGTTGAGGGTGAGCCGTCGCTCCGGGCTCTGGCGGATGGCCATCATGATAAGCGCGTTATAACTAAACGGAGGCTTATCGGGTTTGCTCTTCTTCTCCGGTGACTGTCCATCTGTTCCTTCACACGTTTGCTCTCCAACTCCCACAGACTCTTTTTTATCCGGTCTGTTCGCTTCGTTCCGTTTTGGAATCTGCTTGTCTTTTCCGTCATTTTTCTGCTGGTGATGGGAGCGCGCGATGGGTGGCTTTGCGGCTCGAGAGCGCGGAGCTTCCGGCGCGGCGCTCGAGTCGCTCCTCGCGCGCTCGTGTCGGAGCAGTAAACTACTGATGCTGAAAGACGACTTGTGGAAAAAACTCACGGGGGATTTTAGTTCCTCCATGTTTAACAATACAAACACGCTCCTAAATGTGTCCAACAGGACTTAAAAGTTTCGAAAAAAACCTATAGCACGTCCATTCTTCGGAAACGCTTGCGGAAAAACAAAAAGATCTGATAAGTTTCCGGCACAGCCAATCTCTCTGACTGATCAATGAACTCGAAGGCTCAATTATAACACTTCGAAAGCCGGTGAAACTCAAGCCTCTCACCTGAGACCGCCCTTCTGTTTACACATTCATCTGATTGAATGCCTGTCAGAAGCGAGTGAGGCAAAAAGACGTTATGCTAAGGAGTTCTGATATACGACAACACTTGGAGATGTGAGTAAACAAACAGCTTAGGATGGACATGAACCTAATCTCTGGAGGATGAACAAATAGAGGAGCGTGTCCTTCACGGACCGTGCAAAAAAACAAACACTTTAACGTAACTCAGTGCTTTTTTTCGCCATGTGCTTCAAACTTTGATAAACTGTTCCCATATTTGTCTGCTTCAAATTAACGTTGTTTTGAAATATACCCATTCGTAAAATGTAAATTAATGTCAAGTACAAGGAGTAGACCTACTGTGGTTACAATCTGCCCCATAATCGGAGTGAGTTGGACAACATTTGAAAACATGGACGTTTTAAATGTTGCGCAAATTTAAACTAAATTTAGCTAGGCCTACATATTAGATGAAAGGCAGCTATATATCAAATTAAACAAGACAAACTGCCTATACCAGTTCATGCATTGGAATTTTAGGTCAAACTTTATATTAGGTGTCATTTACTACTTGCCTAGGCCTACATAAAAATATAGCCTATTATTGATGTACTTGTTCATGTTAGTGTAAAACGCTGCGGTTACACTTTATTTTAAGGTGTCATTGTTACAGTGTAATTTCATATATTAAATTTATACATTATACTGAGTAATATTAATTAATAACAGGGTTAGGATAGGATTATGGTTTGGTATAGGGTTAGTTGCATGTATGCATCATTTATTGTTATTACCATACCATAGTAAGTATGTAACATATTTAACGGACACAATAAAATAAAGTGTTACATCAAATGATAAATTTAAATATTAGTACATAGTAGTTACGGCACTTAAATGATAATAAGGATCATAAGCAAAATGTTAAATTTAAAGAAATTTCTTCAAATTTACTTTTTGTCCAAATTCCTTCATTTTTATAGAGAGCTTGCAACTTCTATGACCTTAGCAGGGTGATGGTCACCTCACCCTGTAGCTCATTTCTAATTGGTTAAACTGTTAGATGTTTAGTGGCATTGTGCAGACAATTTATTTTTCAGTTTAATTAGCTATACTTGTACAAATAATAATTACATGCAGGTATTTTAAGTATAAGTAAAGTACAGTATGTATACAATAAGTGCATTGTATCAAATAATTAATTTAAATGATAGTTAAAGACAATTATTATATAATGGGACCAAGTTACAGTAAATAATACAAGTACTAAACAACAGATAAAGTAAAAATAATTACATATTTGTCTAATTATTGCATAATAAGAAGTGCATATAAATTAGAAAGACTAGTAGGGCAAACAGTAATAAAATCAATAAAAGTTCAGTGATAAAAACACATTGACATTAAAACTTCGCTTTTGCTTTTTGGCAGAAATAAAAAATCCTTATCAATGCATGAGCTCACAAGTACATCTCTTTTAGCCTCTACAAATGTATTTGCATATACATTGTTTACAGCCAGAGTACAAAATTATTACACGTCACTGTACAGTCCATTTTACGTTTTTGTGTGTGTGTGTGTGTGTGTGCAGAGAAATGAAAACATAACATAATCATGTTTTCAAGTATAGTCAAGAAAAAAATAATTATGGATCTGGAACATGGATCTTACTGGATAAACAGAATTTTCAATTTTCTGAATTTATTTGGATCATGTTTGACGACTCTTAATTATGTCCTTCAGAACTGGTTCAAAACTGGTTGTGATAGAATTTATATTTATCCAGAGAGACTTTCACAAGACACACAAAAATAGATGATTCAGTGCTGCATACACTACAGGGGTTTAATGCAACTTGTGCAGTCATCATTGGTTTCGTAATTGGTCTCTTAGTTTTGGTAGCAGAGCGTATAAATGTTCGCCCGGACACTCAGTCTTTCCCACGTCTCTATGTCCCTCAAGCACAAAATTGGGGCGCACATGACCGTGAAGCACTCCAAAGTGCAGCAGTCTTAGCAGAGCGGACAGTGATGCAGAACTGGGCAATTCATCTACAGACAAATAGAAAATACAACATATCTTCTTTATGATGTGTGAACTTTGGTTCAGTACTTCATTACGTCTTTCCATTTACAAAAAAATAGTGTAAACACCACAAAAGACAATAAATATAAGATGAAAATTAATGTAATAATAGAGGTAGTCGTGTGCTCACCATTGAAGTTACCCATGAAGGCGATGCCAACAGAATATAAGTTGTGTTCCTTTGCATGGGCCCCTACAATCCCCCATCCCCGCCCTTCATACACCACCCCATCTCCAGATATCAGAAAGCTGGAGGAACACAGAGTTGATGATTAATGTAGCCTATAGACTAGATGCAGTCCAGTTATGTCAGCAGAATTTAAACGGGACAAAACATGCCTTTTAATAGAAATATGAAAATATGTGTTTATAAAAAAACAAGATAGAAGGGTCTACAGGGCACCTTTTGTTTTTTTGTCACATGACAAAAAATGGCTTCCTACATGTTGGTTACACCTCCCTGACTTAGATTTGGTGAAATCTTTTCTTTTCTTTTTTTTAAAATAATAATCAATAATAAATACAGAATTTCTGTCTATTAATGAGATTTTTTTCCCCCGTTAAATACAATCACTGCCCAAATAAAAGGGAACATTCTCAGAACTTTTTAAGTTAATAATGTTGGCACAAAAACATTATTTACACATCGTTCATGGAACTTTTTTTCTGAAACATTTTAGTTGGACGCTATCTAATGTTTTTTTTTTTCAAATGTTATTTTTTTCAGAATGTTCAGAGAACATTCAAACGTTCCATAATGTTTGCAAAACATTTTTAGTTGCACTTTATTTTACAGTAGGCTATACGTGCACTTACAAGTGGACTACAGTGTAATTACCTAAGAAAGCTAGGTAATATAATGTAACTACATGGGTATAGGTTTAAAGGTTCACGGTTTGATATTACCCAGTTATTGCAATTAAGTAGCTACATAGTAGGATGCTAATTTTAATTCAGAAAATAAAATAAAATTCAGAAAATTAAACGTGTTCATCATAGAAAACGTCCTATAGTTTTCTTTTGTTTGTTTTAGTTTAAATCGCATTTCAATTGTCTGACCGGGCAAAAAAGAGTCACGTCATTGCTACATTTATTCATGAATCCATGGAATTCCAAACAAAGTTTATAGGCTACAAGCCTAGTTCAGCAAAACAATTACAAACATTTGTATTTATTAGATACGTAATAAACGTGTGGTCAGACGTTAAATGTAGTGTTCTAACATCTTACTTATAACCGATATCGTCGAAGCCCCTCTCCTGCATGTGCATGCGCTGGATGTGCGCGAGCTGAGAGACGCTGTCGCGCGGACGCGAGCAGTACAGGAGCGCCGTATGGTGAACGATCACAATCTGTGCGGGACTCTTCGTCGCTGTCCTGTCTCGAGGATCCACTGCGTTCCAAGCACGACGACACACTACATGCGCTGCGAAACAACAGTGTGATCAGATCAAAATGCTAGAAATGACATATAATTATAATTACCGTGCGCGCGATCGCTTGTGGATGATTGCTCTCACGTCTCACCCGAGTTCATGTCCACGGTTTCTCCAGGTGTGTGTCCGTCCATATCAGCGACAAACTTTTCTTTCAAGAGCCGGCGAATGTAGGCTTCATGACTTGCAAACTGACAAGTTTATTAGCTTGCCTTTGACTGACAGGGAGGGACACACACGTGTTGTTGATACTTCCGCGTACTTTCCTGTCTCGTGCAAAAATTCCTGCAATAACATTAGATGAAGAAATTAGCCCATGCTGCACGAGCTTTTTATAGATAATGGAAATGCCGCTATGATCTGAATGCTGATATTTTCCATTGCAAAAATAACAGAAGTGCATGGCAGCTTGGCATGAAAAGAGGCAGTTACACTTATAGGATACACAACAATTACACAATCTCTGAACATGAGAACAAGTCAAACCTTGTGATTATTCTCTTTTTAAGTAAAACTTCATTACTGTGACCCCAAAATTGTGAATTCCGTTGTATTAGATTTAAAGGGATAATTCATCCAAAATGTCATATTTTGCTAACCCTCATGCAAAAAATATATGTTTTGTATATACTTCTTAGAAAATGTACTTCATGTGGTAACATCTAAAATAACTGGCTTTGTTGAAATGAAATAAATTATTTAAGATTACTGATTAATCAACCAACCTGAAAAAACTATTCAGGAAGCATAACTGTCAGTAGATATAATCTGATTTCTCCAGCAAGGCAAATGACTTAATAACTTTGATATAATCTTTTTTTGTTTAATATGATGAAAGTCCTTTTCCACCTTGATGTAAATACACTCAAAAACAAATTTCTTAATTTAATTTAAGAATTTTTACCCGCAACTGAATTTAGTTCATTCAAAATAAATCAGTTTACTTTGGTCAACACAATTTAGTTGCGTTAGGTTGAATTAATTTAAAGCCTTCATCTTTATGTATATAATGAACTGATAAGAATTGAAATATGTAAGTACTGATACTCTGGTATAGAACTTTGAGTGTCCACAGGTACTACTCTACAGCACAATGGTAGCCACAAAATTCATTAACAGAAACTCCTCTAAATGTCCAACATAACTGAACATTAAACATTAACAACCAACATCTTTACCATTCCTGAAAAACACATAAAATAACACTTAATCCCCAAATTTACTCTCCCATACCCTTTGCAGCATGCTGGAAAGTACAGAGCCACTGCCTAGTAGTGGAGGAGTGGTTTTGGAGACGCTCTGAAAGGAGTGGAGTGAAGCGCACTGTTCACACTGCTCATGATTCACATCTCAGAGTATGTTGGATAGTTTATAAAATAAAACAATACTCTTTGAAATCATAATTGCATTGCATTACGTTGTTTTAAACCCCAAATCTTTTACTTAAAACATTCTTGATTAACAATTATTCAGGTATTTGTAATATACAGAGCCATTGTTTATAAAAAAAAAAAAAAAAAAAATTTGTGTAGCCAACTACTTCTCCAGAGGTGTAGCTTGATCTTAACTACTTTAACTCATGAGTAGCTTGTCAAACTAGTTTAAGAGTAGCTTCCCCAACAGTGGAAGGGAGGGTGAAACGTGCCACTCTGAAATACTGAGAAAACCAATCATCAGCAGCTTGTGTGTAAAAGAACTCTAAAAAACACAGCTCAAATATTAATTAAATAATATTTGATAATCACACTGAGCCATATTACAATTTAGATTTTATTCAGATTTAATTCTACTCTTAACCACCACGGAATAAACGGTATCTGTTGTCAAAAAAATAAAGTCATAATGTTACTCATTTAAATAATCCCCACCCACGGAATACGCAAAAAAGGGGACGAGGCCTGGTTGAGCTGCATTAGAGTTCAAATTTATTTTAAACACTGTTCCTGAACATTATAATATCAACGTTTATCTATGTGCTGCACATTTTATGGAGAACAGTTTGTTTTGTTGCTATTATAAGATGGTTCACCGCTCCTTAGGGAAATTAGCCATGGTTTTGTGATTGATTACTGTTTGTAATATCTATTTGTCAGAAAATGTTTGTAATTTCCTGACAAATATCATGATTAAATGGTGGATAACATCTTTAATGTATATATTGTGTCAATGTATAAGAAAATTACAAAAAAACATATCACTCAAATGTCCTGTGAAATCAATGCTAGCTAAGTCTGTGCATGAAATCTCATTCGTTAACATAGTCAGGGTCTGAATCTGGCTCAAATTGGTTTGAAATTGATGCCATCATTAATATATCTAGAGCAGAACTTGGAGTTATGGAGAGGCAGGACATTTCCCAACCAGTGCCAATCACAACACACTGGGACAGCTAACCAATCACAGCACATTTCAGATTTCGAAGGAGGGGGTTCATCGAAATCAGCATGTTCGAGTCAGACTGGGAATGTGTTTTTTGAACAATTAAGCATGAAAACATTTCTAATACACCCCAAAAACAAAATCAAGACTTTGTAAAAGGGCATAATAGGATCCATACAAAACTAGTACTTTTTAAAAAATTAAAAACTCAACAGTTTTTGTAATCTTTTATTACAAACCTTCAAAAAATACAGTGTGAAATATTAAAATGAGAAACTATAAAGATCCTTGAGGGAGAAAAAGTCTCGGACTTCATGCTGGTGTTTGTGCACCAGTCTCGCGCTCAGAGGGAAAATTTAAAATTAAACACTAGTTTATTCACAAATGCAAATGCATCAGTGACCTACAGTTGGGTCACTGACCAGATATGTCCACTCCACATCATATGTCCCCTAACCTGAGAAATAACGTGTAGGAATGGAGCAATAGTGAGACGGGACAGCAGAGCACATCCTCATCTTTTGACATTCATGGCTTTATCCTTCTCATTCAGTCCATCTGTGGCCGCAGTGTGGGGCGGTGCAGACATAGTAAAGCCTCATGGCATCCTGCATTCAGAAAATCAAAACGCACCTTTCAGGTTTCAGTAGGTATTATTTGATATTGCTGTAATTAGATTTTTTTTATTAATTTTTAAACTTAGTCACAAAATCTGTCACGTGGATTCAATGTATAATGTGCATGAAAGATTACCTCAGCCTTCATGCTGTGAGACTGGAAGAACACCGCCTCCTTGTGGCCACACCTAAAAAAACAGAATAATTTTAAAATGGCCATTATATCATTTTATTAATATACATCTACATCAAGAAACATATTTATCACTCACTTTGGGCATGGGTGGTCCTCCGTCCGAGGCAGTGTTGGATCTTGGGCCACGTCTGCGATAATCTGAGTGAGTTCACTTGCAGAAAAGAGGGACGAGACAAGGTTAGAGGCGTCTAGAAAAATATCTTCAGCCGATAAAAGTTATGGAACAACTGAATCGGAGTTAATCAGTGTGGTAGGTGGAGCATTTGTGCTTTGGATAGGCTAATATATTTAAGTATATATTATTCTTAATATATCCACATTAGCTCTGAAGTCTCTGTGCCCCCCTAAGCAGTACTAATATGCCCCTGTGTGACCAGAAAAACACTGTCACCAGCACAAAGCCAAAGTCCTTCCACATGCATTTAGACACATTAAGTCTAGTTTAATACAAGTGACACCTGTGCATCCCCCAGTGGCGGTGTTAACATTAAGTGGCGTGGCATGGCATCTTAGTACACAAGGAAGCCATCGGCACATGTCCATGTTGAGAGGCACATCCGGTTGTAGTGTCATGTGCTAGTGAAAATTAAGGAAATGGTGGCACCTTCATTAGTGCCTGGCACATGCCACCATATGTTAAAGCATGTAGATAGTGTAACAAACACACTCAAAAGCAGAACAATATTTATTATATAGCATGTTATTTTTCTGTACGAGAACTATCAGGCTTCTCCATAGTGTAATGTTGTATCTGTCTTGTGTCCCGTTGTAAGTATTATTACAGACTGACTTTGTAATATGTGCATACTGTATTATGTTTATATAATTATTATCAGGGTGTGTTTGTGGGGGGGATTGATACAGCACAGTATCACGATATTTTGCGTGGAAATATTGTATCAATACATGGACACAACACCAAGTATCGATATTTTCAGGGAGTGTATTTGGAGTTGTGAGTATTGTGCATAGGTTTACCCTAAGAGCTGCGCTTCTAATGCAGGAAATAATGATAATTCAAAATCTTTTTTTCCGGCTGTAATTTTAAAAACAGCGCATATCTCTCTCTCTTGCCCTCTCAGGTGTGCAGTGATCTGTACAGGAAGCATGTTCTCGCATATTTCTGAACACACACCTCGGCAAATGCCGGCCAGCTTTGCGCTGCGATGCAACTAAACTTTCACTCGCAATTAGAATCAAAGCTATATAATGCCATTTCTACACTGCCAGCGCACTCGTTCATAATACAACACGACTGATAATAAAGACAGCAGGAGCAGTCAAATGTGTCTAGTGCTATGAGAGAGTGAAGAAGGTTACTTAAAACAGCCTGAATCATCATTACCTGGGAGTTCACCTGTTACACACAGTCCATGATACTGGTTATATGCTCTTCTGAAATCGAACCGTCTTACTTTTTTGTGTAGGCTATTTCACAACGAAAACAACTCCATAGCGCCAAGTTATACGCTATTAATGGCTAATTTATGAATTATCATAACAATATAAATATGATTTAGCACAATTACATTTCATAACTGTATTCGGTCACCTACGACTTGTTCATTAGGGTGTTAGTAAGGTCGTCGCTCTCTAAAACTGCTTAAAATAACATTTATTGTAAAAACAAATAGATTTAGATGCATGTGAAAACACTGAAATGTGCAAATATTTTTATTTGAAAACTGTCATTTCTAATAAAAATATTGAAGGGAGGGGACCAAAGAAGATGGATATTGAAGATGTCAAATTGACAGACAGAACTTTATCTTATTAAATAAAAATGATCTGAATAAAGTCGTATCGTGGCTTATGTATTGTAATAATATTGATTGGATGGTTGTGGTTTGCTATTGCTGTGATCTCATGTGAGTGACAGGTTGTCCCACCCTCACGCCAGTAAACATTGGAGATAAGGGCATATGAATTTACAACAACAACAAAAAACTATGTGCACTAATAAATCATTTATAATAAACACAGCAATATTCCATAAAATGTCAATGTCAATTCTGATTTCATGGTAACTTGAATGAATACTGCCACTACAGGCGCTTTTCCACTGCATCCAACCTACCGGTATTTATAGTGTGTTTCACTGCGAGACGGAGAAGTTTGTTTGTTCGGGTTTGGTTTCTCATGTCCCAAATCCAATGACGCTGGTAGTGCCGATTCTCTCTGACCAACCAGTGATATGAGGAACCACTAAAC